CACGGTGCCCCCCTGTCCTGTACCTGTTCACCTGCGCTGCTGGGCACCCCCTCCCTGTGCCGTCACCTGTGGGGACAGGGGACACATTGGGGGTCCTGTCCACATCCCTGGGACCCCCCACATCCCCAGGACCCCCCCAGCATAGTTTCACCTGCTGGCAGTGTCCCCTCGGGGTCTGCATCACTTGGGGCAGGAGTCAGGGATGCTGCGTGCCCTGCAGAGAGACAGGGACAAGGACAAGCAGCGTTAGGGGACACAGAGGCTTGAGGGGGGCGATGGACACAGATGCTGGAGGGGGAACACATGGAGCCCCAAAGGGGACACTTACGGGATGACTGCCGCTTGACGGTGCCCTGCAAGAGAATGGGGACAGGGGGGTCAGTTGGGACTGGAGGATCTGTTGGGACTGAGTTGTCCCCAGGGACCCTGCAGTGCCCCCAGGCTCACCCCGAAGCTGGGGGGCAGGATGAGGTTGCCCACGGTGGCCTTGAGCTGCTCCATGGTGGCCTCGGCATTGCTGCCTGCCTCCCGAGGCTGCATGGGTTTGATGTGGACGTAAAATTTGCGGGGTTCGTCCTCGTCGTAGTCGGAGTCGCTGGAGGAGCAGACGTGGTTCTCTGTCTCGCCTGGGCCCCCGTCAAGGCAAACCCTGTGCTCGGACTCCTCCTCTCCTTGGCCACCCCAAAAATCACCCCCACATCCCCCCTCCAGCACAAGGATACTGCGGGCAACGTCGGGGCGCATGGTGAAGCCGTCCTCGTCCACCTCTGGACAGCCCTGCGGGGAGATGCTCAGAGAGGTGCTTGCCTCCCAGTCCTCCCAGTATGGAAAGAAACCACCCCCAGGGCTGGCACTGGGACACTCACCACTTCGGTGTCCGGAGATTCCCTGGGGAATGACACGGGTGGTGTTAGGTCCTTAAGCCAAAGCGGGGAAGGGATGCGGGACATGGAGATGCAAGGATGCAGGGACATGAGGACATGGGGATGCAGGACATGGGGATGCAGGAATTTGGGGACACAAGGACACAAAGATGCACGGATGCAGGACATGGGGATGCAGGACACGGGGATGCAGGAATTTGGGGACATAAGGACACAAAGATGCACGGATGCAGGACATGGAGATGCAGGGACATAGGAACACAAGGACACTGGGATGCAAGGACATGGGGATGGAGGACATGGAGATACAGGGATGTGGGGACACAAGGACATGGGGATGCAGGACATGGAGATGCAGGGACATGTGAGGATGTAGGGACACAGGGAAGCAGGGATACAGGTACCCAGGGACGTGAGGATACAGGGATGCAGGGACATGGGGATGCAGGACATGAAGATTCGGGAATGTGGGGACACAGGGATGCAGGTACACAGAGACAGGAGGATACAGGGATGCAGAACATGGAGATGCACAGACAGAGGGACATGAGGACACAAGGATGCAGGGACACGGGGACGCAGGGATCTTACACAGCATCCCGATCCCTCTCCTTACGGCTCAACCCAGGAATCCGGAAAGCTTTGCTACGGCTCCTCTTGGGTCCTGAAAAATGGGGTGGGGGGGACACAGAGCGATGAGCAGCCCCCCCCCAAACACACCAAAACTGGGAGAGGCTGCTGGGTGCAGACGTACTCGCCTTCCTGTGCTGGGGCCAGTCGGTATTCCTCAAAATCCAACGCTCCTGCCACCGAAAATAGGATCAGTTCATCACTATGGCTCTATCTTTGCATGAGGGCAAAGTCCTCGCATGAGGAGGGGGGGACACCGTCCTCATGCAAATTGTGGGGGACCCATTGAGATGCTGCCTGCATCTCACCTGGTCGCTCTCGCCCCGTGCCCTTGCTTTCGGCAAATCTCCGGAGCAGCATCTCGGTGCCGATGTTTTCCACATTTTGCTTGAATTCCTCATGCACCTGGGGAAAATAAAAGGGGGGGGACAACACAGCTTGTCGTCCCCTGTCCTGTCACACCTGGATGGGGACAGGGGACTCACCTGCCCGATCTGGACGGACGTGGGTGTCTCCGAGGGAGTGCGAGTAGGAGCCGATGAGCCCCTTCATGTGGCGGAGGTGGGCTTCTTCCACCTCCTGGAAGCGCTGGTGGGGTGCACAGGGGGAATTTGGGGTCGGGGTAGGGACAAGGAGGGGGTTTGGGCAGGGTGGGATGTCACCAGGGGCTGGCATGTGCAGGCAGTGGGGGCTCATGGCGGGCACAACTCCAAGGGACAGCATGGCCAGGAAGAGTGGCATGTCCCCAGGGAATGGGGCTCAGCCAAGGTGGCACATGGCAAGGGAAGGGGGTTTAACCATGGTGGCCCATCCCCAAGAGCCAGCATCCCCAGTGAGAGGCACCCCTAGAGGTTGGTATCACCAGGGATAAAGGCTTGATCATGGTGGCCCATCCTCAAAGGCCAGCATCGCTAAAGAGGAACATCCCCAGGGGCTGCCATCAGCAGAAATGGGTCTCAGCCTCAGTGGCACATCCCCAAGGACAACCCCATGGGCAGCATCCCCAGGAAACAGGGCTCATCCCAGGTGACAAACCCACCGGGAACAGGCCTCATCTGGGTGACACATCCCCACAGGCTGTCCCCACCATAGTGGGGTGCTCACCCAGGCCACCACCTCCCCACGGCCTGGCCTGCCCCAAGCCACCAGCACCAGGAGCCTGAGGAGCACCGAGCCCCGCTCCTGCCCACCCCTGGGTGCTGCCCACCCTGCCATGGGTGCCCACCACGGCCGAATCCAGCATCCTCTGCTCGAAGTCGGCACGGGCAGCATTGTATTTCTCCACCGCCCGCCGCAGCGCCTCCCCCGCTTTCTTGGACTTCAGCTCTGCCTGCAGGACCGAGTGATAGCTGTGAGCTCCAGGGGGGTGACAGAGACCACCGGGGGGGAAAAAGGACTGGGGTGGGGGGTAACAAAGACCATCTGAGGGGGACAAGGACCACTGGGGACACATGTCGGGTCTCACCTTGTCAATCTCCTTCTGGCTGGTGCCCTCCTTGCACAGCCGCTCGTACTCCTGGCACTTGCTGTGGTAGCTCTCCTTGGATTTGGGTAACATCTGGGCCACTCCGTGCAGCAGCTGGACGGCCTCCAGCGTCCCTGACACCTCCTCCTTGGACTGGGGGGGGACACATAGAAGGTGGGCAGGGCGTTTTGGGGTGTGATGGAGGGGTCACGGTGGGATGCGGTACCTTCTTGTGCACCCGGCCTTGCTCCTCGCCGTAGCGCGAGATCTCCTTGATGAGGTCCTGGAGCTTCTTCATCAGCTCCAGGTGGCACAGGGCTAGTTTGTCCGAGGAGATGCGGAAAACCTCCCACAGCGGAGCAAAAGTCCTGGTGGGGGGCATTGTCAGGGATAAGCGGGGTGTTTCCCCGCCCCAATTTGGGATGCTCTGGACCCCCCAAATCCCTGCGTACCCCAGCTGGGTGCCGTTGGTGGCCATCTTTGACAGCTTCACCATGGCCTTGGCGTAGTTCTCCTCAATGGCAGCCCTGGGGACGGCAGGGAGGGGATGCTGGGGA